TATAATCTGTTTTTTATTTAAATCAATTGTCAAAGTGTCGTCAAGTTGGTATTGAAAGTAAAAGCGCATGTCGTGACTTTTACTTTAATTGTGTGCCACCACTGTCTATCAAATTTGTTAAGATTGATTAAAAAACAATTTTCATATAATTTTTTTGCTGCTAAATCTACCATAAAAATGTTAAGAAAGGGTGGAACGGGATGTCAACTGTCTAAACGCGAAAAAAACTCTATAATTAGGTATTGTGAAGAAGTACAGACGGAGACACCAAATACGAATTTAAAATATACAGGGTGTCTCAGCGAGGCCGGTCATTAGACGTTTCTGGGGTTCTGGTGAAAATAAAATTTGAGAATTCAGACTTAAGTATTATCAATTACGATCTCTTCGACTAAAATATTTTCGGATTTCTTGCACTTCCGATTATACCGGAAGTCGCCACCTACTTAATTTTTTTAAATTTTCTAGAAAAATCTGCTCCAGCAGACATTTGTTCAAAAAATCAGAGAACACTCAATTTTTGGGATATCAATTTAGGATTCAGAATATGCTTAAAAATGTAAAAATATACAGGCTGTTCCATTTAAAAAAATAAAGTAGGTGGCGACTTCCGGTATAACNGAGCAGTTCTGCTCCTACTAGAAAGGTTGCAACTCAATGGCTGACTTGGTAAACATAATCTTGTAATCGTCGTCACCAAAGTAGGTCATCAAATAGTAAGTGCCAAACCAGATTAGCAACAATTTCTTAATTTTTGAGATTTTTTAGTGATAAATTGAGCTACATCAGCATTAGCAAACTTGCTTCGTTGCTTGTGTTCAAGTTTCCGTTGTATTTTGGGAGTTGCGTCGCATTACTTAAACATTCTTATTCCTTGGTGTGGTATTTCCTGGCAAAAGTAAAAAATAACAAACTATGTACATCTGTGTACTAATGGCGTCTATTTTATATGAGCTAGTACTTGGACTATAATGGGGCTAGAATGCATGAACCCTTCAAAGTCACTGAATCTTGCAGAGTCTTAATCGAGTTTAATCTCTGGTTGTTGCAAAAAAATTGGATAATACTTCAAAGTTTTTTGACTACACATTATCAGATAGCATAAAATTGATTTGTTATCTCAATTTGAGTTTAAAATTTTAATGTAGGAAGTTTTTAGTCCTTTCTGTCTTTTAATCCAAATATGTATGTTCTAGTTTTTTCCGTTATTTTACGAAACATTTTCATTTTCTATACAAGTTTTCTTGTTAGAGTTCTTCTATTAAGACTTCTCCTCATATATATCTTATGAACATAGTTTTGTTAGTCATAAAGTCTTCATTCAAGAGCAGTTCTGCTCCTACTAGAAAGGTTTCAACTCAATGGCTGACTTGGTAAACATAATCTTGTAATCGTCGTCACCAAAGTAGGTCATCAAATAATAAGTGCCAAACCAGATTAGCAACAATTTCTTAATTTTTGAGATTTTTGAGTGATAAATTGAGCTCCATCAGCATTAGCAAACTTGCTTCGTTGCTTGTGTTCAGGTTTCCGTTGGATTTTGGGAGTTGCGTCGCATTACTTAAACATTCTTATTCGTTGGTGTGGTATTTCCCGGCAAAAGTAAAAAACAACAAACTATGTACCTCTGTGTACTAATGGCGTCTATTTTATATGAGCTAGTACTTGGACTATAATGGGGCTAGAATGCATGAACCCTTCAAAGTCACTGAATCTTGCAGAGTCTTAATCGAGTTTAATCTCTGGTTGTTGCAAAAAAATTGGATAATACTTCAAAGTTTTTTGACTACACATTATCAGATAACATAAAATTGATGTTATCTCAATTTGAGTTTAAAATTTTAATGTATGTGATTGAATTTCGTTGTTGACGAGATTATAGGTACTAATTTATTGACGTTGTTTCAGGTTGGCCGCAGCGCAGGAAGCAGCCGCTCAGCAGCAACAGCAGCAAGCGGTCCAGCTACACCATCAGGTGGCGGCGGGCGCAGCTGATAGAATGGGGGGCGCGAGCGCGACGGCCGGGCAGGGGCCCACCTCGCTGTTCCTGTTCTCGGAGGAGAACCCCATCCGTAGATACACTCGCTTCATCATCGAGTGGCCATATCCTTTAATACATACAATTATGACACAATTATCATATAATATTTTCTTAACTTTGATTTTACTCCGTTCGAATATGCCGTTCTTTTGACAATCATTGCCAACTGTGTGGTGCTGGCACTCGAAGAGCACTTGCCCAATCACGATAAGACTGTGCTGGCACAAAAATTAGTAAGTATTTTTTGTTTGTTTTCGTGTAGATTTAGCTAAATTTAGTTTAATTAGCGGAATGGGGGCGTAGGCGCCACATTGGTAGTGTGCTTAATTCGTTTAATGGTATTCATTATCGAACGGGGCGAGTTTGAATTGGCCGAGACCAAATTACTTATTGATTGAATTTTCTCATTTTCTTCACAATTCGATATTTATTTAAATAATTTATTTTTAGGAAGCAACAGAGGTATACTTTCTTGGAATATTCTGCGTTGAAGCTTCACTGAAGATATTAGCGTTAGGTTTCGTTTTCCACCGTGGATCATATTTGAGAAACATTTGGAACATCATGGACTTTTTCGTTGTACTCACAGGGTGAGTAAATTCATTCCCTCTTAGTTTTAGACGAACCATTTTTTTTAATGAGAAAATTACCAGAACCAGTTTAATAGGTAATTTAGGTTTAGCCCAGTATTCGTAGGAGAACCTCTTGATGACGCAAAAAAAATCATTCTGAATCATGCGAATTGTGTTATTGGTTCTCGCCTTAGGTCTATGACTATATTTGCCGAGGCCAACGTCGACGTAGACCTGCGGATGTTGAGGTCTTTTCGAGTGTTGAGGCCGTTGAAGCTTGTTTCTAGGATACCAAGTAAGGACGCCGTAATCTAAAAAAAATAATTGAAAAAAAACCACCCGAGATAACGATTTGTTTACTCAGACACCGCCAGAAACACACGTTATACTATCTGTCTCTATTTAGCTCCTCAGTACGGACCGATGTAGCGCAGTCGACTTTAGATTATTCTCGTTTTAACGTTGCGTTATTTCGATATAGAGAAATAGATTATTTTGATTTTCTGTTCATTTTTTTTGGGTGTGTTTCTCGATTATTACTTTATACTATTAAATTAAAGTACAGTAAAACCTCGATAATTAAATGAAATTTTTTTAATTGAATAAAAACTAAAACTAGAGTTAACACTAGCACTACAACTAACACTGGACTTACAACTAGAAATATTCGGGTTAGCCGTATGTCTCTTAAGACAACTAAATCCGAATGTTTCTAGGTTTAGGTCTAGTGTTAGTTCCACTTTTACTTCAATAAAGATTTACGCTGAATAACAATTAAAACTAGAATTAACATTAGACCTAGGGCTAGAATGTTTCATGCATCTTCAGACTAAAGAATTAGGTTCATCAGAATATTTTTTAATAAATACGTATAAAATTCCATGAATTATGAATATAACTTTCACAACTTCATGGAATTTTATTGGAATTTGCTATTTTATTTTAGTTTTAAGAATTTTGGGAAGTTTGACCAAAATTCCTTACAATAATATTGAAGTTTTTACGTATTCTCAAAAATTTAAAGAGATTTTCCATTCATTAATAATCGGTGAAAATTTCATAAGCATTTTCCAAGAAGCCGATTTTTCACGATTTTTTAAATTTCAAATAATTTTTAATAATATCGATTAAATTAAAAAGTTAATATCTCAAAAACTAAAAGAGATTTTCCAAAACGGTTTTGTTTATTAGAAAGAGCATACAATAATTAATAAATGGTGAAAATTTCATAATCATTTTCCAAGAAATCAATTTTTTACGATTTTTTGTAATTTTACAGAATTCTCATTTAACAGAAAAAAATTGATTTCGTTAAAAAATTTATATCTCAAAAAATAAAAGAGACTTTCCAAAACGATTTTGTTTATTAAAAAGAGCATGCGTTTATTAATAATCGGTGAAAATTTTATAAGTATTTTCCAAGAAATCGATTTTTCACAATTTTTTAAGTTTCAACGAATTTTTAATAATGATAAAAAAAATTCGATGCAGTTAAAATCTTAATATCTCAAAAACTAAAAGAGATTTTCCAAAACGGTTTTGTTTATTAGAAAGAGCATACAATAATTAATAAATGGGGAAAATTTCATAATCATTTTCCAAGAAATCAATTTTTTACGCTTTTTTGTAATTTTAGAGAATTCTAATTTAGGAGAAAAAATTGATTTCATTAAAAAATTTATATCTCACAAAATAAAAGAGATTTTCCAAAACGAGTTTATTTATTGGAAAGAGCATCCATTCCTTAATAATCAGTGAAAATTTTATAAGTATTTTCCAAGAAATCGATTTTTCACGATTCTTTAAGTTTCAACGAATTTTTAATAATGATAAAAGAATTCGATAGAGTTAAAACCTTAATATCTCAAAAACTAAAGGAAATTTTCTAAAACGGTTTAGTTTATTGGAAAGAGCATATATTGATTGATAAATGGTGAAAATTTCTTAATCATTTTCCAAGAAATCAATTTTTTACGATTTTTTGTAATTTTACAGAATTCTTATTTAGCAGAAAAAAATTGATTTCATTAAAAAATTTATATCTCACAAAACAAAAGAGATTTTCCAAAACGGTTTAGTTTATTGGAAAGAGCATACATTAATTAATAAATGGGGAAAATTTCATAATCATTTTCCAAGTAATCAATTTTTTACGCTCTTTTGTAATTTTAAAGAATTCTCATTTAGCAGAAAAAAACTGATTTCATTAAAAAATGTATATGTCAAAAAATAAAAGAGACTTTCCAAAACCATTTTATTTATTAGAAAGAACATGCGTTCATTAATAATTGGTGAAAATTTTATAAGTATTTTCGAAGAAATCGATTTTTCACGATTTTTTTAAGTTTCAACGAATTTTTAATAATGATAAAAAAATTCGATGCAGTTAAAATCTTAATATCTCAAAAACTAAAAGAAATGTTTTAAAACGGTTTAGTTTATTGGAAAGACCATACATTAATTGATAAATGGGGAAAGTTTCATAATTATTTTCCAAGTAATCAATTTTTTACGCTTTTTTGTAATTTTAGAAAATTCTAATTTAGCAGAAAAAAATTGATTTCATTAAAAAATTTATATCTCACAAAACAAAAGAGATTTTCCAAAACGGTTTTGTTTATTGGAAAGAGCATCCATTCCTTAATAATCGGTGAAAATTTTATAAGTATTTTCGAAGAAATCGATTTTTCACGATTTTTTAAGTTTCAACGAATTTTTAATAATGATAAAAGAATTCGATGCAGTTAAAATCTTAATATCTCAAAAACTAAAAGAAATTTTCTAAAACGGTTTAGTTTATTGGAAAGAGCATACATTAATTAATAAATGGGGAAAATTTCATAATCATTTTCCAAGTAATCAATTTTTTACGATTTTTTGTAATTTTACAGAATTCTTATTTAGCAGAAAAAAATTGATTGCATTAAAAAATTTATATCTCAAAAAATAAAAGAGACTTTCCAAAACGATTTTAGTTATTAGAAAGAGTATACGTTCATTAATAATCGGTGAAAATTTCATAAGCATTTTCCAAGAAGCCGATTTTTCACGATTTTTTTAGTTTCAAAGAATTTTTAATAATATCGATTAAATTAAAAAGTTAATATCTGAAAAACTAAAAGAGATTTTTCAAAACGGTTTTGTTTATTAGAAAGAGCATACAATAATTAATAAATGGGGAAAATTACATAATCATTTTCCAAGAAATCAATTTTTTACGCTTTTTTGTAATTTTAGAGAATTCTAATTTAGCAGAAAAAAATTGATTTCATTAAAAAATTTATATCTCACAAAACAAAAGAGATTTTCCAAAACGGTTTTGTTTATTGGAAAGAGCATCCATTCCTTAATAATCGGTGAAAATTTTATAAGTATTTTCGAAGAAATCGATTTTTCACGATTTTTTTAAGTTTCACCGAATTTTTAATAATGATACAAAAATTCGATAGAGTTAAAACCTTAATNGAAATCGATTTTTCACAATTTTTTAAGTTTCAACGAATTTTTAATAATGATAAAAAAAATTCGATGCAGTTAAAATCTTAATATCTCAAAAACTAAAAGAGATTTTCCAAAACGGTTTTGTTTATTAGAAAGAGCATACAATAATTAATAAATGGGGAAAATTTCATAATCATTTTCCAAGAAATCAATTTTTTACGCTTTTTTGTAATTTTAGAGAATTCTAATTTAGGAGAAAAAATTGATTTCATTAAAAAATTTATATCTCACAAAATAAAAGAGATTTTCCAAAACGAGTTTATTTATTGGAAAGAGCATCCATTCCTTAATAATCAGTGAAAATTTTATAAGTATTTTCCAAGAAATCGATTTTTCACGATTCTTTAAGTTTCAACGAATTTTTAATAATGATAAAAGAATTCGATAGAGTTAAAACCTTAATATCTCAAAAACTAAAGGAAATTTTCTAAAACGGTTTAGTTTATTGGAAAGAGCATATATTGATTGATAAATGGTGAAAATTTCTTAATCATTTTCCAAGAAATCAATTTTTTACGATTTTTTGTAATTTTACAGAATTCTTATTTAGCAAAAAAAATTGATTTCATTAAAAAATTTATATCTCAAAAAATAAAAGAGACTTTCGAAAACGATTTTGTTTATTAGAAAGAGCATGCGTTCATTAATAATCGGTGAAAATTTTATAAGTATTTTCCAAGAAGTTTCAACGAATTTTTAATAATGATAAAAAAATTCGATGCAGTTAAAACCTTAATATCTCAAAAACTAAAGGAAATTTTCTAAAACGGTTTAGTTTATTGGAAAGAGCATACATTAATTGATAAATGGGGAAAGTTTCATAATTATTTTCCAAGAAATCAATTTTTTACGATTTTTTGTAATTTTACAGAATTCTTATTTAGCAGAAAAAAATTGGTTTCATTAAAAAATTTATATCTCAAAAAATAAAAGAGACTTTCCAAAACGATTTTAATTATTCGAAAGAGTATGCGTTCATTAATAATCGGTGAAAATTTTATAAGTATTTTCCAAGAAATCGATTTTTCACGATTTTTTAAGTTTCAACGAATTTTTAATAATGATAAAAAAATTCGATGCAGTTAAAATCTTAATATCTCAAAAACTAAAGGAAATTTTCTAAAACGGTTTTGTTTATTAGAAAGAGCATTCATTAGTTGATAAATGGTGAAAATTTCATAATCATTTTCCAAGCAATCAATTTTTTACGATTTTTTGTAATTTTACAGAATTCTTATTTAGCAGAAAAAAATTGATTTCATTAAAAAATTTATATCTCAAAACATAAAAGAGACTTTCCAAAACGATTTTATTTATTAGAAAGAGCATGTGTTCATTAATAATCGGTGAAAATGTTATAAGTATTTTCCAAGAAATCGATTTTTCACGATTTTTTAAGTTTCAACGAATTTTTAATAATGATAAAAAAATTCGATAGAGTTAAAACCTCAATATCTCAAAAACTAAAAGAAATTTTCTGAAACGGTTTTGTTTATTAGAAAGAGCGTACAATAATTAATAAATGGGGAACATTTCATAATCATTTTCCAAGCAATCAATTTTTTACGCTTTTTTGTAATTTTAAAGAATTCTCATTTAGCAGAAAAAAATTGATTTCATTAAAAAATTTATATCTCAAAAAATAAAAGAGACTTTCCAAAACGATTTTGTTTATTAAAAAGAGCATGCGTTCATTCATAATCGGTGAAAATTTTATAAGTATTTTCCAAGAAATCGATTTTTCACGATTTTTTAAGTTTCAACAAATTTTTAATAATGATAAAAAAATTCGATGCAGTTAAAATCTTAATATCTCAAAAACTTAAAGAAATTTTTTAAAACGGTTTAGTTTATTGGAAAGAGCATACATTAATTAATAAATGGGGAAAATTTCATATTCATTTTCCAAGTAATCAATTTTTTACGCTTTTTTGTAATTTTAGAAAATTCTAATTTAGCAGAAAAAAATTGATTTCATTAAAAAATTTATATCTCACAAAACAAAATGGAAAGAGCATCCATTCCTTAATAATCGGTGAAAATTTTATAAGTATTTTCGAAGAAATCGATTTTTCACGATTTTTTTAAGTTTCACCGAATTTTTAATAATGATACAAAAATTCGATAGAGTTAAAACCTTAATATCTCAAAAACTAAAAGAGATTTTCCAAAGCGGTTTTGTTTATTAGAAAGAGCATACATTAATTAATAAATGGGGAAAATTTCATAATCATTTTCCAAGAAATCAATTTTTTACGATTCTTTGTAATTTTACAGAATTCTCATTTAGCAGAAAAAATTATTAATCCAATTTTCTTTTACATATCCATGAATTGTGTTTTTATTCCCGCAATTTTATTGAATTTTAGCGCTTCCACCGAAATTTAAATATATCAAGTATATTCCATGGAATTTAAGTGAAGTTTTGAAGCTATCTTTGATTTAATAACGGTTTTAAATATTTTTATGGAATTTTATTGTAAATTTTAGAATATTGTTTATTTCTGATATAGCCAACACGGAATTTTATTGAAGTTCCACTGAAACATCAAGCATTAACAACAACAATTTTGAGAATTTTGTGAAGTTTTATCAAAATTTCATACTGTAATGTTGCATTTTAAGACTATTTTTCATAAATGCGAGTAAAAATCTCCCACAACTTCATGGAATTTCATTTTGTCAAGTCCATTGAAATAATTTTATTCCTATAAGTTTGATTAAAATTCCATAAAATAATATTGAAGTTTGAAGTTTTTTTTAAATTCAATCAAAAATCCATAAACTGTGTATTTATTTCAGTAATTTTATGGGATTTTGGTTATTTAGTTCTACGTCTAGTGTTGTAGACAACTCGGGTACTCGTAAATGTGTTAAATAGAAGTTCTTCATATCGAGGTTTTACTGTATTAATTTGAGACACACCTCACTGTTATTTGTTATTGATACTTTTTTCTATAAGCCGTAGGGTAAACAGTTGAAATTGAACTCTTTTCCTTTTACTTAGAACGGTATAAAACCGCCTTATATTGACTTATGGGTCAAAAAGGCTAAAAAAGTTGCATGGTTGTTACTATTATATTTGCTCCTTTACTTTTTTTGGTAAATGGTAGACACTGCTCGACTAATGCTCGATTAATTCTTATTATTACTATATTGTTGTTTATTTGAGTAGTTAATTAGTAAATACCGATTGGGACGTGTTAATAAAATATTCTTACTTAATAAAAACGTTTCTATCAAACTGTAAATTCGATACAAATTCGTCGACATGCAATGCAGTCAGTTGTGCTGATCGATAAATTTACGCGGCAAGTTTACTGACCTAAAACGTCGCCCACTTTTTTGAATACGTTCATTTTTAATTTGGATATCGAATTTTCAATGACAACATTTTATCAACTCGCCCTTTTCCGGTGTTATATACATACACAAGTTGTTTTAATTTATTTTATTAAGGATACTGTATGAAATTCACGTGAAATTTGTTGCTTGATTCACCACAGTAGAGCGAAGTTTGCAGATTTCTGCAGATATCTATTGATTTAATACTCTCTATTGGCCAATTTTAATTCTATCCATTTCGAGCATTGTTTATGATTAATTTTAATTAATTAAGAGTTCAAAACTCAATTGTTTAAACACGGTCGAAATTTTAAGCCAACAATCTTATTAATTAACGCAAAAACTTTTTATTAACTTTATTATTATTATTATTACTTACGATAATAAGTTATAATAAGGATGTTAGCTTATAATTTTCTTTTCTTAACAAAATTCCAGCAAAAAAAATCAGATAAAGAATCCATAGATATTACAACCGATACTGGTTCACCATATTTAGATTATGTTACTAATTACAGTTACCCATTGACTTACTACTGTTACTACTGCCGTTGTTTTAGTGGACGGATTTAAAACTAGAATTTTAGAGGAAATTAGTGGTTGGAGTAGTTAGCTAGAGGCTAGTACTTTTGCAGGTTTCTAACGATGTTCCCCCAAGAAATCATTGCAGTGGACCTGCGCACGTTACGCGCTATTCGTGTGCTTAGACCTCTCAAGCTAGTCTCTGGCATTCCTAGTGAGTAAATATCCCACGTTTGCACCCACCGAAGGCGCGGGTCCATATTGATCCAAAGTTAATCATTGCATTAAAAATCTTTATACATCATTCGGAATCAATAAGGACCTACACCCTCCACGTAGTTAACTAACCACAAGATACATTACAACTACTTTAGCAACTGACGAGTAGACAAAAGGCGTAACGTTTTAGTATCTACTTTAGTAGCTTTTCATATGACTTATTACGCTTCTCTCAGTTACTGTCGTAGCGCGCTGATTAGACAAAAAATACTTTTAACACACCACTTCTATAACATATTTTCGTTTATTAATTTATTCTATTTCTTTTATCATTTTATTATTTCCTTATAATTTTTTTTTTGTTCTATCAAACTCGATATATCTAATAATCCGAGTGTGGGTTATCTTGCTTCGATAATCAATTTACATTTCCGTTAGGTTTGCAAGTCGTCTTGAAGTCCATCATCAAAGCAATGGCACCATTGCTACAAATAGGGTTGTTGGTATTGTTTGCCATCGTTATTTTCGCCATCATCGGATTGGAATTTTATTCTGGTGCGCTACATAAAACCTGTTATAGTTTATATGATATAGGTACGAAACATTTTAATATATCAATTCATTCATTCCTTAATTATGACATGACCTTAAAGCTATATAATCGTGATCACTAAGCTTTACATTGAAAAA